ACGCCCCCCCCGGCTCCAGGAGCACGGCGCGGGTTCGGCCGAGAGGCTGAGGGCATCCTGATGCCGACTGCGCTGGCTGCCCTGCCCCGAGCCGCCTGGCTTTGTCTCACGGAGCCCCGGTGCTGCCGGGAGGCTGTCCCCGAGTGCTGAACTATTCCTGATTTTAATTGATCGCATGTTCTCCAACCAAACCCCGTCCGGGGCCTGCTCCTCCCGACACGGAAAGGGACTTCTGCCCTTTACAGAAAGACTTCTTCCTTCTGCATTTGACATCCTATGGGATCGTAAAGCATCTTTCACGCTGGATTTCATCTCTCATCAAAGTGCGTTTTGAGGAATTACGGGCTTATTCCCATGGCTTTATAAACCGCCGGGATCTGAGGGTCTCTGCCTTCCCTGCTGCCGCCGCTCCCACCTGGCCGTGATGGGGCGAGAGCAGGAGCTGATCCAGGCCGTGAAGAACGGGGACCTACCCGGCGTGCAGAAGCTGGTGGCCAAGATCAAGGCGTCCAAGAGCAGTGAGTAGCCGGGCGCGGAGCTGCGGGCTCCCTCTCCCCTGCTGAGCACCCCTGCCTGTTCCGGGGTGCGGGTCCCAGCAGCGGGCTCGGTGCCATCCAAGCCAGGGTGCGAGTGCTGGCTCTGCACCCCGGCGCACGAGTTGTGCTGCGGCCGGAGGCCCCGTGCGGATGAATGACCGGGCTGTAAGCGATCCTCCTGGCAGGGCCTGGGGCCAGGGGCCATCAGGTGTGGGCCACTGAGCAGTGGTGGGCGAAGGGAAATGGCAGCAGGGGGGGGAAACGAAGCCGCTTGCGGGGGGGTCGCTGCTACAAAGGGTCTTTAGCGATTGCTGCTCGCTCCCAGCCGTATTTATCTTGTGAAAAATTATCATCCCAGCCAGTCGACTGGAACCAATTGTGAAGCCTTGAATTTCAGTCTGGTAATGTTTAACCCTTCAGCAGAGCTGTTTTCTCGCACGTGCTCTTGGAAAGGTCAGCGGCAAGCATGGCTCAGAGTGAATGTTGGGCTCGCCGGGGTTCCCAAGGGCGCCGGGGTCCTGCAGGTGCCGGACGGTGTCTGGAGGAGATGGGGAGGTGGAAAGGTGGAGGAGCAGATCACGGCCGGTGCCATGGTGCCATTGTAGAGAGCAGAGCTCCCGGTCGCTTCTCGTGACCGACTGAGAGGAGGGAACTGGGAAAAGTAAATAAAAGAGTGGCCAGGGGAAGGGGCACGGTGCCTGCCCGGGCTGCGGGAGCTGCTCTGTGCGGGGGGAGGCTGGGGGGTGGGGGACCCCCCTGCCAGGGCTGCACATCGTGGGGGGTCTTGTGGGTGTGTGCGGGAAAACTGGGAGGGGAAAAAAACATCCCGGGGAGGGAGAGGGGAAACTTGGGTGGGAGAAGAAGCTTTAAGGCTGCTGAGGAGCGTCTCAGGGCGGAGAGGCTGGTGCTGGGAAACGTGAGTTAGGCTGAGGATTATAAACGTGAGAAGGGGATAAACTCTCCTGGGTCAGCTGCTGGAGAGCTTTGACTGGGGCCACAACTTTGCAAATCCCGACTGCTGGGCCTGCAGGAGGGCTGGGGGCCACCTTCTCCCTAGGAGGGGGGTGCCTGATGCCCTCTCCCCGGGTGAAGGGACTGGGTGCCGTTGCCTGTGCTTGCCGCTGTGCCCATACAGGGTCCCTGAGCTGGAGCAAGAGACGTTTGCCTGCACGGGTGGGTTGAAGGACACCCCCAAGGCAATAAATAACGTCAGGACGTGAGTGTCCCGCCGGCTGATGCAGCCCTGCTCCCCTGGGCTGGTGTCCCGTGGCCGGGCAGCGTCGGCAGACGGGGGTGCCCGCAGATCTCCCCCTCATGCACCCAGAGGGGTGAAGTTGCACTTCATTTCTCCAGTCCCCTCCGGTAACTCTCTCCTAGTTAAACCCTGTCTGCATTTTTTCACTGGAGTCTTCCCCTCCCTCCAGCCGTGGGGCACCCACGTGAAGGTGTTTGTTTAACTCCCCCGCCGCAGCGGCTTTTCAAGGTCCCCCCTCCTTTCTCTTTTTTTTT